GTAAATCCCTGGGAAAAATAGTACTAAGTTACAGCTTGCAATGTATTTGGTTTTTCTTCAATTGACATTTGGATACTCCTGAGAGCTGTGGATGCCATGGACACAATAATGACTGTCCCTTCCTTCAAAGAGCGTACGATCCTGGCAGAAAAGAACTGCTTGTGAAGTGCAAGTGCCTCAGAAATTATGTAAATTGATTACAGTGGAAATACAGGTCAGGAAAGAATCGTGGGTCAGGAGTGTGAGAGAGAGGCAGGACCGGCACTGAAGGGAAGGCCGATCTCGGCTTGACGTGTGTACAATCAGACCCCTGACTCCAGACACGCCAAGCTGCAGGTTCAAAAGGTGCAGGGGCCTCCAGGCCTATACTCTGTTTTCAGTAGCTGGGTCACCGAAAATGTCCAGGGGCAACCTGTGGTTTCCATCAGGTGTCCCCTGTCAGGACAGTCTCAGGCTACTCTGCTGCCTCAGTTGCTATATGGCACAGATAAAGAAGTCACTGGTGTGCAGGCGAGCTGTGAAACATTGATTTCATATTTTCAGTTCACTTTTGACGTGCCAAGTTTATTTGGAGACAAAGAATTGATTTTTACCCCAAAACTGTTTTCAAGATAAATGGTATCCTGCCTCCTTCCGCAGGGCTGGAAAGATGTGTGGCTGTTTTCTCTTAGGAAGACTTTGGTAAAGTGCAGGTTTTAATCAGGGAGCTTTGGAGCCTGAGATTATTCCTGGCAAGCTCCGGTGACGCCAGTGCTTCTGGTCCTTGGAGCGCATTGGAGTATCACTGAGAGGGGTTTGGTGGCTACATCATCCCAGCAGTCTGTAGTTTTCACAGCCACCTCTGGATGGCCCTGCCATGTGCTCTGGCTCCTAGACTCTCAGCCAGCACCTCCAAGCCCTGAGAATGAATGTTAGCAATTTATTTTAGAGGCTTGTCTAAAAATCCATGTTTGGATTCATTGTTTTTATGAGGGACTGACTCTGGTGAAAAAAACATGTACCTCTACTCTTTGAGGAAAAAGATGTCTTCCTGAAATCAAATTGTTTGTCTAAGAACTTTCCAGCTACCTACTTTATTTGTTGTGAAATGCTAAATTCAAAACATCTCAGAAATTAGCAGTTAGTTCTACTTGAAAGTTACAAGTAGAGAGACATTTATTTCCTTCTTAAAACTTGGATTTTTTTTTTTAAGAAACCAGTGTTAATACTAGTAATTTTATCACCATAAATTTATCTTTAAACATAATCAGTATGAATAAAGCCATCAGAGCCTCCTCGGTTGACTCTCCAGAGCTGCCTCCAGGGTGGGACATATATAATAGTAAAGTAACATGTAGCTGAGTTCGCTCACAGCATCCCTGTGAAGTGACTATTTTATTACCCCCATTTTATAGACAGTAAAAATAAAGCATAGGGCGTTAAGGAACACCCAAAGTCACACATAGGACATGGAAAGAGCCATTCAGTTAATCACTATACTGGATTTCCATTCATGCTCAAACAGCAGTTACTGAATGAGTTAATGTGTTCAATTTCCAAGTAAGCATAATGGTATGTTCTTGTTTGCTGTTCCTGAAGGCGTCATGAGCTTGACTGTGTATAATGCAGCACTGGTGTACTGGCTCCTGCCCAGTGGAGGATTTAGGTTCAACTTTGGCATCACTGAGTGGCTAAGACATACACATGCGCATTACTTTTCAATTTAAATATCGTGGTATCCTAACAAAGGTGCTTCCCTAATTCCTGTAGCTGTTTGAATGAAAGGCAGGAGCAACTCTAGGGAAGAGCAGACCTGGCATCCAGTGATATCAGACTGGGTTGAACATGTTATGGGTTGAGTTTGTTCTCGGTCCTTGTCCCCACTGCAACAAAGAACTGAAGGGCAGAAACACAGTAGTGAAGCAGAATGAAAGTTTTATTTGAATACACTCCAAGGGAGGACTGGGCTGGAGTCACCATAAACAAAGGCACTAAACTTTTTTGGGGGAGAGTGTTTATCACCACCCCACTAGAAGGCACTTCTTTTGATTGACAGGGTGGAATCATTTGATTTACATCTGTAATTATACACCCATTCCTCTTGGTGCACATCTTTTCCTAAAATGCACACAGAAAAGCCCAGAACAAAATCACAATTTTAATTTAATGAGATTATGAGGAGGTGTGGTTTGGGCAGTTCTTGGCATTGTTCCATTGCACCTGCCTTGGGACCTGTTGGGACCGGTTTGTCCTGGTCCAGACAGGCAAGAAGTTACCTCCCTGCAAAGCGTTCATTGTCTGCTGGTGAGAGCCCTACCTGGGCTGTTTGAGCGGTTTTTCCTTGAACTTAATCTTCCCCAGCTGCTCATGTCTGTCTACTTGATTTTTTTTCTCACATCATCATATACAATTACATGAGCAACATTATGGTTACTAGACTCCCCCCGTTATCAAGTCCCCATCACACACCCCATTACAGTTACTGTCCATCAGTGTCTACTTAATATTCTTAACAGATGAACCAATTTCCATGTGACACATGAGGCATGGCAACTAGGATTCACCCTCCTGTCTGGAGAACCCAACCGGAAAGCCTCTGAGCCTATGGCGTTAGTTAAATTCCCTGATATCTAGCAAGCAGTTTCCTTCCTAGGACAAGATGGCTCTCAGACCAGGGGCTTCAGTAACTCGGGGGTTTGAAAATGCATTAAGCTCTGCTAAAACTCCAGCAAATTCAGTTGACTTCTCATATAAGAGGATCCCTGAGGAAAAGAGGGCCTCAAGTCTGTTGCCAAGAATGTCTTAGAAACTGCTCATTGTTCCAAGCACTTGAAAGCCATAAACTTAGACAAGAAAGTGCACACAGTTCGTAGCCTTACTTCTTTCTAATGAGACATGATTCCCCCATGACTCTGGGAGTTCCCAAAACCCAAATGTCTCTAGACTGTCGCTTCCTCTTTTGTGGACTCCCAGCTGTGGAAAGCTGGAGGCTCTCTGCTGCTGCTTCATTTCCCCTCGCAAACGAGCCAGGCCGTCCTTTGGCGGCCTCGGCCCCCAGATGACTGCGCTGACCGGTGCCCTGGGTTTGGCTGACAGGCTGACTGGAAGCTGCTTTGCAGACACGGGGCCCCGCACAAATGGGTGCCCTTTTTTGGTGGGCCTCACAAGTCACAGCGCTGTCGAGCGAGTTAAGGAACACCCAAAGTCACACATAGGACATGGAAAGAGCCATTCAGTTAATCACTATACTGGATTTCCATTCATGCTCAAACAGCAGTTACTGAATGAGTTAATGTGTTCAATTTCCAAGTAAGCATAATGGTATGTTCTTGTTTGCTGTTCCTGAAGGCGTCATGAGCTTGACTGAGTATAATGCAGCACTGGTGTACTGGCTCCTGCCCAGTGGAGGATTTAGGTTCAACTTTGGCATCACTGAGTGGCTAAGACATACACATGCGCATTACTTTTCAATTTAAATATCGTGGTATCCTAACAAAGGTGCTTCCCTAATTCCTGTAGCTGTTTGAATGAAAGGCAGGAGCAACTCTAGGATGCTGTGAGGGAAGAGCAGACCTGGCATCCAGTGATATCAGACTGGGTTGAACATGTTATGGGTTGAGTTTGTTCTCGGTCCTTGTCCCCACTGCAACAAAGAACTGAAGGGCAGAAACACAGTAGTGAAGCAGAATGAAAGTTTTATTTGAATACACTCCAAGGGAGGACTGGGCTGGAGTCACCATAAACAAAGGCACTAAACTTTTTTGGGGGAGAGTGTTTATCACCACCCCACTAGAAGGCACTTCTTTTGATTGACAGGGTGGAATCATTTGATTTACATCTGTAATTATACACCCATTCCTCTTGGTGCACATCTTTTCCTAAAATGCACACAGAAAAGCCCAGAACAAAATCACAATTTTAATTTAATGAGATTATGAGGAGGTGTGGTTTGGGCAGTTCTTGGCATTGTTCCATTGCACCTGCCTTGGGACCTGTTGGGACCGGTTTGTCCTGGTCCAGACAGGCAAGAAGTTACCTCCCTGCAAAGCGTTCATTGTCTGCTGGTGAGAGCCCTACCTGGGCTGTTGGAGCGGTTTTTCCTTGAACTTAATCTTCCCCAGCTGCTCATGTCTGTCTACTTGATTTTTTTTCTCACATCATCATATACAATTACATGAGCAACATTATGGTTACTAGACTCCCCCCGTTATCAAGTCCCCATCACACACCCCATTACAGTTACTGTCCATCAGTGTCTACTTAATATTCTTAACAGATGAACCAATTTCCATGTGACACATGAGGCATGGCAACTAGGATTCACCCTCCTGTCTGGAGAACCCAACCGGAAAGCCTCTGAGCCTATGGCGTTAGTTAAATTCCCTGATATCTAGCAAGCAGTTTCCTTCCTAGGACAAGATGGCTCTCAGACCAGGGGCTTCAGTAACTCGGGGGTTTGAAAATGCATTAAGCTCTGCTAAAACTCCAGCAAATTCAGTTGACTTCTCATATAAGAGGATCCCTGAGGAAAAGAGGGCCTCAAGTCTGTTGCCAAGAATGTCTTAGAAACTGCTCATTGTTCCAAGCACTTGAAAGCCATAAACTTAGACAAGAAAGTGCACACAGTTCGTAGCCTTACTTCTTTCTAATGAGACATGATTCCCCCATGACTCTGGGAGTTCCCAAAACCCAAATGTCTCTAGACTGTCGCTTCCTCTTTTGTGGACTCCCAGCTGTGGAAAGCTGGAGGCTCTCTGCTGCTGCTTCATTTCCCCTCGCAAACGAGCCAGGCCGTCCTTTGGCGTCCTCGGCCCCCAGATGACTGCGCTGACCGGTGCCCTGGGTTTGGCTGACAGGCTGACTGGAAGCTGCTTTGCAGACACGGGGCCCCGCACAAATGGGTGCCCTTTTTTGGTGGGCCTCACAAGTCACAGCGCTGTCGAGCGCGCGTAACACAGCGTGACTGGCCGCGGCCATCTCCAGGCCTTGCTTCACCTTCCTCGTGACAACGGCCACCCGGACGGACCCGCGTCACCGCGAGCCCGCGGAGGGCGGCGCCTGCACCCGGCCTCGGGAAGTCTGCCCACCCCGGCCCGTGCTCAGATGAGGCGCGCTCGGGCCTGCGTTCCCGCGGCAACGCCAATCCGCCGCCGCCGGGCCGGGACCGAGTCGGCCTGCGCCCGCCGCCGCTCGCCATGCTCCGCCGCCCGCGCCGCCGCCTGCCGCCCGCGCCGCGCCTTCTGTGGCCGCTGCTGCTGCTCCTGCTCCTCCCGGGCGCGCCGGCGCAGCCCGACCCCGGCTCCGCGCGGCCGAAGGAGCAGCCGGGAGAGGCGCGCTCGGGACCGGCCTGGTCGGCCTTGCGCGGCCTGCGGGAGCGGCTGCGGGCGGCCGGTGCCCTCTCGCGGCGGTACTGGGCGCTCTTCAGCTGCCGCGTGTGGCCCGAGGACTGTGAGCACAACGAGACGCCCGCGGGGCCCCTGGGTAAGACGCGGCGGCCCGGCCCGCGCGCGCCGCTGCGGGGAAGTGGGGCACGGCTGTCAAGGCGGTGATTTTTGTTTTGTTTTTGCTTTTGCTGGGTATATTCAAGTTGACTCTGGACAAAATAATTTAGAGGCCCTTGGGGTTGGCTGTAATCAGATGATTTGGGACCCCCAAGCAGATAGGAAGCTGATCATCACCAGCTTGTCTCCCTGCTAGACAGCAAATTCCCTGCAGGCAGGGTCTGGGTTTCCCACACCTCCGTGCTTAAGGTATACAGTCTGAGCATATTCAGCCTTTGCTGGGGCTGCGTCTTTGGCAAGGCCATCTACTCAGAGCCGGAGGTACCCACCCACTCCTGCCCGTTCCCTGGCAAGGCGCGGGACGGCCCAGGGGAGGGCAGCGAGCTGTAGCTCTGCAGGCAGGACGAAGGACCGAAGAACCGCACCGCTGTGTTGCGGGGAGGCAGTGCTGGGCTCCCCCTGGCTCTGTCCCCTGCTCACAGCGCCTCCTTTTCCAGGCTGGGACCTTCCCTTGCTGGGCCAGCAGTACCTGGATATCCTGACCGCGTGGTACTGCAGCTTCCAGGACTGCTGCGGCGGCGGGGACTGCAGGATCTCCAACAACTTCACAGGTTGGGCTTTGGAAGCTCTAAGGGACTGGAGATCTGTGGGGAGGGAGTTCAGGGCAAGTAGCTACGGCACAAGGGACCTTTAATCACCCTGCTGCAATTGGCAGCACACCTCCCTGTCTCCGCCCTGATTCCCAGTAGCTTCTACCTGCGGACCCTGCACCCTCATGGCTGATAGGCAGGTAGGCCTAGTGGAGGACTTTGCGCACATCGGCCACCCTTAGCAGATGTTCTCTGGATTGAATTAAAATGAATAAAATGAGAATATCTCTGTAAAATATTTAGGAGGTCCTGAAACTTCCAGGTGAGAGCAACCTTTTGCGCCTGGGGTGGGAGTCCTCTTCCAGACGGGACTCTGCTAACCATTCTGGGGTGTCTTTAGGACTTTTAGAAAGAGTGATTCCATTCTCTCCCTAAATTCAATCTTCATTTCTCAAACTCTTCAGAAAATTGCCCTTTAAATCCCTTCTACAGGGTCTGCCCAGTGGCTTCTTGTTCTGAGGCCAAACAGAGTGGATCACACCTCAAAGATGTTCCAAGGTCTCTTGGCCATTGCAGAGACTGGGAGGGGACCACACCGTGTGCACCTGTTACCATGGCCTCTTTTCCTGTCCCTAGGCCTAGAGTCAGACCTGAGTGTACGACTGCACGGCCAGCATCTGGCCCAGGAGCTGCTCCTGAGAGCAGTCAGGGGCTACTTAGAGCTGCCCCGGCCAGACAAGGCCCTGGCCCTGTCATTCCATGGCTGGTCAGGCACAGGCAAGAACTTTGTGGCACAGATGCTGGCGGAGAACCTGTACCGGGATGGGCTAAGGAGTGACTGTGTGCAGATGTTCATCGCTACGTTCCACTTTCCTCACCCCAAGTACATGGACCTGTACAAGGTGAGGCTTCAAGAGCCCTAGGAGCAGGTGTCTGTGCTGGGAGGGGGGCCTGGAAACCAGTCTTTCCTTGCAAGGAGGTGGGCCCTTCAGAAGCCTGGGGTATAGGTGTTGGGGGACAGGTGGCCATTTCAACAGAGTCCATAACACAAAGATACCTCCATTCGACATGGATAAGGCCCTGAACATATGGAGGAAAGCCTGATGTTCAAACCTAACTCACCCTGAGCTTTCTCCTTAGCATCCATACATGAGAGTCCAAACATTGAGCTTAAACAGAGAATCCATGTTTATTTTGTTACATAAGTAGTGGAAATGTCACAGGAAATGTAGAACAAGAAAAGCAAAAACTTTATCATAATCTCCCCCCACAAACCCAGCTGCAGTTAGGGTTTTGGTGCACTTCCTTCAAGCCTTTCTCTGATGCTGTTTTATGTCATTGTGATATATTGGACAAAAAATTATATGTCCTTTTTTTTTTAAAGAGGCATATCATATCCTAAGTGATTTTTCCATATCTCCCAAGAACTAGTCATTACAGGCCAGCAGGCAGGTGGACAAAATTTGTCATTGCTGCTCTGCCTTTTGGGGCTTCCGCCTGTCAGATAACGTAGTGTGTAAAATAAGCCAGGCAAGGACCAAAAGCCCAGGACAGTGTGACAGAGATGGCTGCGTGCGCCTTTGCCTTCAGCTCCAGTATTTGGAGTGTGCTAACCCGGAAAGATGGTGCAAGCCTTTGAGGACAGAGATTGCTTGGGTTGCTTTGCAGTTTCAGTGCAGCCCGGACTGTCCTGAGGGCAGGCGGCTGGTTAGCCCAGCCTTCCCAGAAAGACGAGCTGGCTTTTCACTGTGGCATCAGCTTCCCTGCTGTGAAAACAGACATGTATGCACAGTCTTTTCACTTGCACATCCTTTCTCTCTCTCTCACACACACACACACACACACACACACACACAGGTAACAGGGGACTGGTGTCAAAATCCAGGGAGGCTAGAGGTGTACAGTGAGTGTGGTCTTGGCCAAAGCTCCCCACCTCGGGGCAGCAGCTGGCCCTGTTCTCCTACTGAACCTTGCAGAGCAGCATCTTTGCTGAGGGCTTAGCCCAGAGTGGGGAGCCCCAGTTGGGAGTTGGTCAGGTCCCAGACAGGTCCTCCCTAGGCCCCCCTGAGAGCTCAGCCCAGGCTGGGTGCCTGTGGGCACTGTGCTCCTGGGAGTTCAGGGTCTGTGGCCAGCTCGGGCACTTGTGCCTGTCTCTGCTCCCACTCCCATTTTAGAGCCTGGCTCCTCTCCCTGGGGAGGGTGAGTGGGCTGTTAGCTCTGGGGTGGGACCTCATCCTGGAGGACAGAGAGCAGGGCTGGCAGGCCCTCTTCCTCTCTGCAAGCTGGCTCCACCTAGTTGGTGTCCAGACCTCAGGGTGCCGAAGCAGCACCTGGGAAGCTTTATCCACTGCAGAGGCCTTGCGGAGAGCACCGCCTGTGGGGCCCTCTGGCCTGAGGTGGGTGTGTGCCTCCCACTGCTCCCCCAGGTCCCAGTAGCTCCCTGTATTCTGCACAGGAGCGGCTGACAGGCCAGATAAGAAAGACGCAAGAGAGCTGCCACCAGACCCTGTTCATTTTCGATGAGGCCGAGAAGCTGCATCCGGGGCTGCTGGAGGCCATCAGACCAAACCTGAAATGCCAGGCCCCAGAGGACCACAGGGCCGAGTCCCCGAGAAGCATCTTTCTGTTTCTCAGGTGAGTCTGAGGAACAGTAGACAGGAGGGCTGGGAGAGGGGAAGAAGACCCCTCCGTCGAGGTGCTGTATCCACCAAGCTTTGGAACTGTGTCCTGGTGCAGGAGCTGCCGGGCAAGGGCTGCCCTGCTCTCTTAGGCTACAGAAGTTTATCACAAGGGAAATAGCACAAACTCATGTAGAGAAAACAAAAGCCTATCTGCTCCCATGGTAGCAGGGCCTACCTTAGGTCTTTCTGCTGCAGCCCTGATTCATTAGGGATATTGGTCTGTAATTTTCTTTTTTTATAGTGTCTTTCTCTGGTTTTGGTATCAGGGAGATGCTGGCTTTGTAGAATGAATTTGGAAGCTTTCCTCCCTCTTCAGTTTTTGGAATAGTTTGAGGAGTCGTAATAACTCTTCTTTGAAAGTTTAATAGAATTCTGGGAAGCCATCTGGTCCTGGACTTTTGCTTGGTGGGAGGTGTGATGAATGTGTTTAACTCCTTTTGGGGTCCTGGACTGATTTCAGCGTGTGTGTATGTGAGAGGCGGAGGGGGGTCTTCCCACGCACACGACACTAAACAATTCTTGAACACCAGCAGAGTTTCCAAGAACTCAACACGATTCTGATGCTATCTGTCTGGAGATAACACCAGATTCCACAGGTTAATGGGCTCCGTCCTACAAGTCCATCCTACATCCCCTACTCCAGACGGCGTTCGCAAGCCCCAGGCAGTTAACCTGTGTTACTTTATGTATTTCAGTGCTCCTTTGTTGGGTGTGTAGACATTCACAATTATTTTATCTTCTTTTGGATTGAGCCCTTAATCATTACATAAAGCTCCTCTTTGTCTCTTGTTAGTCTTTGTTTTAAAGTCTATCTTCTCTGATGTCAGTACTGCAACTCCAGATATTTTTTTCATTTCTATTTGCATATATTTTTCTATTCTTTCAGCTTCAGTCTATGTGCGTCTTCAGGTCTGAAGTGAGTCTCTTAAAAGCAGCATATAGCTGGGGGTTTTTATCCATTCAGTCACCTTACGTCTTTTGATTGGAGCATGTAGTCCATTTACATTTAATTATTGATAGGTATGTGCTTATTGCCATTTTATTAAATGTTTTCTCATTGTTTTTGTAGTTCTTTGATTCTTTCTTCTTTTGCTGTCTTTCCTTATGCATGATGACTTTCTTTAGTGTTATGGTCAATTCCTTTCTATTTTTTAGGTATCTTTTATAGGTTTTTGGTTTGTGGTTACCATGGGTTTATATATGACATCTTACATGTATATAGCAATGTGTTAATGGTCACTTTAGTTCAAATGCATTCTAAGAGCACTTCATTTTTTACTCTCTCTCCACATTTTAATATGATGTCCTCTTTTACACCTTTTTCTTGATTCTCTTAACTACGTTTTGGAAGTGGTTGGTTTTACTACTTCTTTTAACTTTCACACATACTTTTAAGTAATCTTCTATCTTTGTTAGGTTTGTTTTTACCTGTGAAATTTTTTTCTTTTTGTAATTTTCTTGCTTCTAGTTACAGCCCTTTCTTTTCCTCTTAAAATAAGTCCCTTTAACATTTCTTGTAAAGCTGGTTTAGTGGTGGTGAACTCCTTTAACTTGTGTTTATCTGGGAAGCTCTTTATGGCTTCTTCGATTCTGAATGATATCCTTGCCAGGTAAAGTATTCTTGGTTGGAGGTTTTTTTTTCTTTCAGCAATTTTAATATATCACACCACTCCCTCTAGCCTGTAGAGTTTCTGCTGAAAATTAGGCTGAAAGCCTTATGGAGTTTCCCTTGTAACATAACTCTTTTGCTTTTCTCTCACTGCTTTTCAGATTCTTTGTCTTTGATCTTTGACATTTTCATTATTATGTGTCTTGGTGTGAACCTCCTTCACTTCATTTTGTCTGAGGCTCTCTGTGCTTTCTGGACCTGGATGTCTGTGTCCTTTCCAGATCAGAAAGCTTTCAGCTATTATCTCTTCAGATCAAGTTTCCACTCCTTTCTCTCTCTCTTCTCCTTTTGGGATGTCTATAATGCAAATGTTTGGATGATTGATACTGTCCCAGACCTCCCTTAACCTACCCTCATTTCTTTTACTTTTTCTTTCTGCTGTTGAGCTTGAGTGCTTTCCATTTCTCTGTCTTCCAAATCACTGATCCATTCATCTGCACCCTCTAATCACTTGCTGTTAACATTGATGTTAACATTTGTTGATTCCATCTAGTTTATTTTTCATTTCATTTAGTGTATTCTTCGTCTCTGATCTCTTCTTTTTTATATTTTCTTTCTCTTTCTTGAAGTCCTCTCTGAGTTCATCCATTCTTCTCTCAAGTCCAGTGAGCATTTTTATAGCCATTACTTGGAACTCTTTGTCAGGTAGATTACTTAACTGTTTCATTTAGTTCTTTTTCTGAAGTTTTGTCTTGGTCTTTTGTTTCAAGCATATTCCTCTGTCTCCTCATTTTGTTTGACTTGCTTTAAGTGAAAAGCTTGCCCACCTATGTTGATATTTGCAACCCTGCCAGGTAGCACTCATCAATTAATCACTCACCATGTTCCCTGTTTGTTCAACTGTGTGCCCCAGGCTCTGGAAATGTCTTTACAAAAAGTGAGTTTAGAAATCAACTTATCCAACCGTCTTTTTATGAAGGCTCCACCTGGAAAAGTCCTGCTTAAGTTCTATTAAAAGTCAGGTTTGGGTCCCTGTTGTCCCAACTCGAGTGCTTCACAAGCATCTTCTTGCACTCAGTGCAAGAAACCACACCAGTTGCTCACTCCCCCTCACCTCCTGCAGGCCAATACATGCTTGCTAGGGGATTTTCCCCACCTTGGGGTATACTCTGTGAAGGTAGAGAAGGAGGGGGCCTGGTTTTTTATCCAGGCTTACAGAATATGAAGGAGTGAGCCATGGAGGGCCGATCTTGTTTTGTGACAGGGCACAAGACCAGATGGGATTTCGGTGTGTTGATGGGAAGTCCTTCCTAGTCTGTAAGCAGGGCTCGTAGGGCACTACAGTACATGGTAAAGGAGGGCAAGGGGGGCCCTCCCAAGGTGATTTTAAGAGAAAAGTAGATTTTCTGATATGATTTGGTCAGAATCAGGATGAAAGCCAATAAATTCTTCAAATTAACTCTCCTCACCAGGCTTTATATTATGTACCACCTTCTGAAGCAGTCCAGAGGCACAGATCTCTTCCTGCTGTAGTGAATTAGGTGGAGGGTCTAAAAGGCAGAGGAGGCCAAATAAGAAATCACCTTGGTTCCTTAAGCCTTCTCTATCTAAACCCTTTCAGGTGGTGGAAGCAGGGGTTAGGGGTCCAGAGGACCCTCTGAACAATTCCTGCAACTTGAGTCCTTTCCCCTGAGTGGAAGGAAGCCTGGTGGTAGGCTCACTCAGGACTCCGTCTTGCAGGTGCAGGAATCCTTTGACCCTGAGCATGGCACCTTCCCGTTCCTCTGCCTAGTTGCTCCTCTTCCTGTGGTCCAGCCCAGGCTGGTTCTGCCTTGTGCCCACAGCTGACCTTTCCCCAGCTTGGACCACAGTGCTTGGGCACTGACTTTCCTACCCAGTTCTCAGTTTGGAAAACCCTCACCCTCTTCTATGCCAGCATTTCCTAATGTGTCCCAGTTGATCCTTCTTTCTCCAGGCAGACATTTGCTTCATAGTATTTTGGTCATTGACCCACCAGCCCTGCCCTTTCCCCCAGTGACTTGACCTCTGAGGCCACATGGCCACCAGTGAATGAACAGATGGCTGGGATGCAGACAGAGCCTGGGGAGAGAGCCACCAGGGGAAAAGCTGCCATGTGGGCCTACAGTAGCTGGAGATGGCAGCCATCCAGGAGCCTCTGAGTTCCCTGGGAGGAGGACACATACCCCTGACAGGGACATAGGGGTGTGGGCTCTGGTGCAGACCAGCCAGGCTGACATGCTGGCTCAGCACTGCCCCTGCCCTGGGCATCCAGAAAGCAGTTGGTTTTAGGCTGGTGAGATCACCTGAAGTAGTCAGGTATAGATCTTTCTCAACTTATGATGTGTCACATCCTAATAAACTCATCGTATGTAGAAAGTATTAAGTCGACAATGCATTGAATACACCTAACCTACCAAACATCATGCCTTAGCTGGGCCCACTTTAAACCCTCAGAACACTTTTAGCTGGGCAATGGCAGCTGGGTAGTATCATCTGACACAAAGCCAGGTTTTTAACAAAGCATTGACTATCTCATGGAATTTAATAAATTCTGTACTGAAAATGAAAAATAGTGGTTCTGTGGGTACAGTATGGCTGCAAGTGTGTCAGGTGCTCACCCCTGTGATGGTGTGGCTGATTGGGAGCTGTGACTTGCTGCTACCCAGCATCAGGGGAGAGGATGGTGCTGCGCATCGATAGCCCAGGAAAAGGTTCAGTTGCAAGGTATGGCTTCCACTGAATGCACATTGCTTTCACACCACTGAAAAATCTAAGACCATCATAAGTGGGGGCCCATCTGTGTCCTAATGTTGTGGGTTTGAGTCTCTGGGTTGGATTTCTTTTTTTACTATTATTTATTTTTTTAATTTTTAATCTTATTTATTTATTTTGGTATCATTAATCTACAGTTACATGAGGAACATTGTTTACTATAGACTCGCCCCTTCAAGTATTTTTTTAATTTTGTTATCATTAATCTACAATTACATGAGCAACATTATGTTTACTAGACTCCCCCCATCAAGTCCCCACCACATACCCCTTTACAGTCACTGTCCATCAACATAGTAAGATGCTATAGAATCACTACTTGTCTTCTCTGTTGTACAGCCCTCCCCATGCCACCCCCCACTGCATTATGTGTGCTAATCATAATGCCTCTTTTTCCCCCTTATCCCTCCCTTCTCACCTATCCTCCCCAGTCCCTTTTTCTTTGGTAACTGTTAGTCCATTCTTCATTTCTGTGAGTCTGCTGCTGTTTTGTTCCTTCAGGTTTTCTTTGTTCTTATACTCCACATATGAGTGAAATCATTTGGTACTTG